AGTTCAAATGTGATTGCGGCTTCGAATGCGAAGACCGTGTTCATGTAGTCGCGGAATGTCCGTTGTACAAGAAGGAGAGGGAAGTGTACGTGACTGAGCTGGGAAAAATAGATGGAACGTACAGGGAGATGTTTGAGGCATGGAATAGAGAGGAAAGGACGGTAGCTGTAGTGGGGCATAGGAGGTGGGTTGAAAAGGCGGGAAGGGATATCGTTAGGATAGACAGACTAGGGACGACATTTTTGAGCCACCTTTGGCAAAGTAGAAAGGAACGATTGGCCATCGGTGATCGGTCCTGTGGGAACAACGCTCCGTCCTCTCGAGGACGCGTGGTCAATGGTCTAACCGCTAAGACATGCAAAACATAAGAGTACGCCCCCCCACCCGCTGCCGCCGACTTGATTTTATCGAATCCCCTAAGGTGTGCTTTAGGGACCTTACCGTGGGCATCTTTGGCCCCGCCGCTCCGACGACGATGGCCAGGATGGTGACCCCCTGCTTCCACACGGCGCTCGTCAGGGCTTACTCGGACTTCGTCATCAGGCTTGTGTTTTGTTGTTATTGATGTTGCCAATGGTGTGGTTGTTTTTGCTGTTATGTTGTGTTTTAGGCAGAACGCTTTTCTGTTTTTGTCAGGCCCTGCTTTGACGTCCTTCACGGCGCGAGTTATCCTCAGATCTCTCGCGCCGGAGTGCCTTCCGTTGTGTTTTTTTCAAGTACGTCGAGGCAGACAAATTATTGCGCAGGCGCTGGATTCTTGAGGGGAGCGGCGTGGCCAAAGGCCGTCCAACTAGGCATTTGCCTGGCCTGTCCTTTTCCGTCATTGGCAGCTCAATATTTGACAAAAGTAGCATAGGAGTCCGCCGGCATTCATATCAAATGCGGGAGCTCTTCAATATGGAAGAATTGCCACGCCTGTCGCTAAGGGAGGAAGAATCCGAGGAATGCGTGGGGATGCCGGTAAGAAATAGAGCACACACTTGTTCCCCCAAGAAACGTTGCCCGGCAGTAGTGCATCGCTTTCCCCAGACGTGAGTCAAGGATACAGGTAGGACATGAACGAAGCACAAGTTCAAGCTCTCGAGGGTAGTCACTCGTTTATCTTTGGCCGGGTGGTGACAGTAATGTTTTTCATTTGTGTGCGTGTGTGTGTGCTGGACCCTCCGAGTCTGGGGAATCTAGCGTCTGCTGATTCGGAATAATCGGGTGGTCCACGTGCACAGCCAACAACAATCTCGTCTTTGTTTCCAAAACCGTCCGCGGCAGAGGCCTAGATCTCCAGGGGATGACGAGCTACGCGTCCCCTCCCTCGAAGAAGGTGGTGGTCACGTGGATGGCTAGGAGGTCTTCCGTTCAGGTGTGTTGAGGCAATCGTGCCATCTGACAGGATTTGACGTGATCATGGTACCGGCTGTAATTGCTCCTATGCACCTCGCTATGTTCTTGTCTCTGGATGGAGGTGGTAAATAGTGGCCATTTTAAAGCGACCAATCTCTTCCCTGTTGTGTGGAACACGCTCTGGGAATTTTGGGGCTGCTGTTGTCGCATGTTTGAACCCGACGACTCTCCTCCTCGCTGTGTTTGTTTGCTGTTACAGTGGCCCGAGCGAGCCTTTTGCAGCGAGGACGGGAGGGATTCGTTCTTCACGTGCGAGTACTTCAGCCACCTCGACACGCGGGAGCTGCAGCGCAAGGTCAAGAACGAGGCAGATGTGAGAGACGACAAAGCTTGGCCGAGTCACACCCCTCACTCTGGGGTAATATGGCGGCAGCATACTTGGAATTAATCTCGTGCAGCGAGGCGCGGCGTGCTGATATTGCAGGGGTATGTAGTGCATCGTGTACGCTGTATCCGACTCACAACGCCGCGTTGAGTGAGCCGGAGGACTCGTACCGTCGGCGTTCGTGTAGCGTGCCGTCCGGTGTCCACAACGGAACGTGCACCCCTTTTTGCCAGCCATAGAGGCTCCTCTTCGTGCGCGTTAACTTTGAGAGCCCGTGGGTGCTACGTGGGGGCTGTTTCGACTGAGCTCAACTACGCCGCGGGTGTGTCGTGGGCTGTCGTTTCGTCTATCCGGGAAATGCACGACTGCATAATGTTGCCACTTAACAACTATGGCCGCGTAATGACCGGCCAACATTGCCCCTACAAAAATCACGTTTTACCGAGAAATATTTGTTTCGCGAATTGTATATTCGATGATGGTAGCTGGTAACGAAGTATGTTTTCCCGCAAAGCCCGAGTGTACGTAGACGGAGACCCCTTACACCCCTACAAACCTTTCCTTCAGAAACGCCGACATTGACTGCCTTTTTTGTGCACCTACCATGCAAACCTATTGGAAATCAATGAAGAACAACACGGCGTTTTTGTACCACATAATGCCCAGCCGACCAGAATCGGCCGAGCATCCATGTCTAGCAGGAGCACTATAGCCAGTAAGCGACGAGGCTACCTGACTTACGATGACCCTTAACTACATGTTCGGAAAATAGTTCGTTTGGGGAATGCTTCCCCCCCTCCCATCGGTGACCTCAACGCGTGTGGGCCCGGCTCGAGTACGAGGTCGTTCCAAAGAGTACGACCCATCCTTGCCATGGCGCCCCTGCCGCCCGTCTCACGCTGTGACGCACACACAAAGGTTGTGCAAGGACTTAAGGCCCTCGAGGGCGAAGAGTTTTCCAACGGTGCGGTTGTGGAGGTTCGGGACGCGGACTACAACCTCCTCAGCTTCGAGGAGCAGATTAAGCACGACCTAGAGACGGACGTAATGGTAAGCTGGTGCGGTTGGGTTTCGTTCTTCGCTTGCTCGCTGGTGGTCGAGGACAGCTGTACGGTAGGGTTTTTGTTTGTTCTGTTTGCTTGTGGTCGAACATCCTTCTGTGTATTCTCGCTAGCAAACGAAATGCCCTCTGCTTGCCATTCATTCTGTAAGTCGATTCGTACACCTTCTTCGAGGAATAGGTACCTCTTCTTTGGACTCGTCGGCTGGGTCACACGTTGTACAACCCGGTTTCACCCAGGGCGAAGATTGAACGTGGGAAATTGCTGATCTTTCCATGCCCCTCCATCTCCACCTCCCCCGTCTTTCTCGTTGCCGGGACCCCCATCGATGCGCACAAGATCGGTCCGCACGGGGCCGGATTGTTCCACATTATCTTCACCCCTGACCGAGCCAGCCTCATCGAGCTTCAGATAGACCAGACCAAAGCCCGGAAGCACTTCAACAACCTGGCCAAGTGGTCGGGCCACGGCTACAAAGCGTCGGGCGGGCCCAACCCCGTGAATGTGGCGGACACAGTAGGCATGGTGCGGGAGGCCATCGGCGACATGGACCTCTCAAGGCACTAACGATTTTTTTGGGGTGTTGGCGTATGTGTGCTTGGTTGGATCTTTTCTCGAGATGAGGATCGGACCCCGCCAGCACATCCTCCAAGCAGTGTGGAGCATGTACAGTAGAAAAAAAAACATGTAGTACCAATAAGAACGTCGTTTTTGGCCGAAAGTTGGAACAAATTTTCAGTCACATATTTGTCGTTTGGGTTCAAGCTGTTGGTTGTGGTGTAGGATATGCCTGACTCCGTTGGTGTTGAGGCTGTCTGTTCCCCAGAGGGGACGACCACTGTTGAGATATGTTTTTCGATGGATGGTGGAGTGCATTACCTGTTGGGCCTGGCGACCACGCGCGTTGACTCTTTCCGGGACCATTTTTTGCCTCTTTTCAGAGCGTTTTGTTTGGTTGTTTGTTGACGCGATGTGTGCGTTTGTTCGGTTTTTTGCTCGCGCTCCTGGCTCCGGGTTTTGGAGGTGCACCGGTTTATTGTTCGCTTGTTGTTCGTGCTTTTGTCATTGGTGGCTTTTTCGTATTTTGTTGTTGGTTGTTGGAAACGCACAAGGCGTTGAACGGGTGGGAGGTCTCACGCAGCAAGCACTCAGGGAGGGGTAGGCGTGGCCATCATGCGTTATGTTTGCCACCGGACTGCTCGTTAGGTTTGCCTGAAAGGTAACCAGAACACGGCACCTTTCTGAGCTTGCCGAGCAGCGTACATGCGCAGGCATGGTAGGTGGGAGGTAGAAAAGCTTTGTAGCTGAACGACCGTCGGTGCGGTCGAATCAAGGCGAGAGCCGGGGGGTGTTTAATGCGATGCTGGGGCTTTCTTTGTGTTGTGCTGCTGTGTGTGAATGGAAAAGCGTTGGTTGTGCGCTTGGGGGCATGCCGCGTAAGAAGTGGTATGTTCGTTGCATACCGAGGCTCAGATATAAAAAAAAGCCCTAAGCAATTGAGGATAGCGGCCGGCGCTACATTAGTATAGAATCCTTTGCACCGTGGTGGGGCCAAAATATGGCGAGCCTCGCACAAGATAACTACGCGTGTCTTATGTATGAGCGGGCCGGCACTGCTGCTGTATTGGCGAACGGCGTGTCAGTCGAACGAGGCATCCATCCGGTCGGGAGAAGGACAGACAGACTAGCGCTCCAGACAGGGAGAGGGGTGCGAGAGGTGACTGCGACACGGCGGTACGAGGGGGCCCAAGTGTCCTGGACGGTGTCAGCTCAAATTCGGGTTACATTTGTTCGTCCGTGACTGTTCAAAAAAGAAAATACAAGGTACGGCGTTCAGACTATGTACTGGTGAGCTGGGGCACGCGGAGCGGCGGATGAGGCGCCAGCTATAGGAAACGGCGATGAGTCGTAACTGGAGCAATCAGTGGTGTCTATGCCTACAGGCCCACGTTATGCACGCAACGCCCCTTGTCTGTAGACTGTTGTGCGTAGATTTGTTCGATACCTAGACTATACTACATTGCGATTGTATGCGCTTGCTGCTTCTTGTAAAAATGTTGGTGTTGACAATCCAAAAGAACACACAAACGCCTGAAGGCCATCTTTGAGGGATGTCGAATCCGGCGAGCGGTGCCTGTGCGGTGATTCGTGGACCAACAGAGCCATGACAGATACGTATGGGACTATTATCTTGCAACAGACGTTGACAAACAAGCTCGGCATACCTCTGGCACGCCCACCAACCTCAACCCGCTCTACGGCCGTCTTCCTCTCTGAAGGTTGGTGGAGTGCGTGGTTTTCTTGTACCCGTTGCTGCTACCAGGTTTCGGTGGGTAGAGCGAACTGTGTCCGAACGCATAATGAGTGTCATGTGAGCATCGGCGCTTTCCAAGAACCTCCGCGTGAATCTCTTGTCTCTCGGGTTATGCATGGTCTAGGCCGCGGCGCAGTCGTTCATCGCTGAGCGTAGCAGCTACTTTAGCAGCTCATGCCAACGAAGCTTCGACCCTGTCTTGCTGCTGACCATACATTTGTACTTCCTGCTGCGAGCTTAGTACGTACCTGCTGCTGTCGCTGTATCTGGTGCCACACTCGATCCGAACAACTTTTTTCTGCAGTTCGCCGAACGACGCCTCCCTTCGAGCTTGAACTTGTCATGATTTTGATTGTCACCAACGACGCCGACGGAACCCTTGCAAACATATTCCTGTTCCAGCAGCGGTGTGCAGGTTCCAAAATCGATCGGCAGTCACTTGAGTGCTTCCCACGAATGTGCACGAATCTTCGCGTTGTATGCATACTGCCAGCACTGCTCACTACAATAGAGGGGCAGCTTTCGAACCTGAAGGTGTCTTGATTGTATCCCACCGCTTTCTACATAACAGCACTCTCTCTCGTTGGCCTGCTCTGTTGGCCTATACTGCTACGAACCATGCTACCGGTGCGCGCATTTGCACGCGTAAGCATTCATCCACCCTGATTCTGGAGGGGGGGCATCCAGACTATCGGGCTATCTGCGGTAGATACCCCGACAGCCGCATCGCCCTGCCAACACGATGGGTTCGGCGTGCAGTGGGACAAGCAGCTCTGCCTACGTCGAGAAGCCGCCAAGCGGCATCCAAAGCAACGGGCAGTACGTCGTTGACGGCGTCGTTATACCCAGGAGGGAGCTGACGGCAGCAGAGGCCACCCGCCGCGGTCTGGAGGAGGACAGCTGGAGGGGGAGCAAGTTGGGTGGAACAAGAACGATTATCGTTCAATCATGTACAATAATATGACGTAGACTATAATACTTGTACCGTACACTGTATCATGTCTCCGACCAAGCGTCCTCGCCCGTAAAATTCCGGCGACCACCAGTGCTTCATGGATGATGGACTGGAGGAATGCACCCGCCGGAACTGTCCAGAAGATCATGTTGAAAAATCCAACCGCCGCACGAGGGCTGGGAGAGGACGCGATGGGGGTGGGAGCGCGCAGAACACTGATACGGGAGGCGGAGAGCTGGGTCCTACAGCTACACGTAGGGGCGGAGGACGCCGAGGCAACGGTGGAGTCAATCGCAGTGGCGGGGGCCCGGTGAGCCCATAGGGGCACGGCTTGTGCAGCACGGCGGGGCCAACGTTTTTTTAGCTTGCGACGTGGGGAATGTTGTTGGACAATGGAAGTTCAATGACAGCCTGGGAAACGGGGAAGAGTTGCGTGGTTGTGTGTAAGCCTCAGCAGCTTTTGTTTGTTTTGTGTTTGCTCACAAGGGAGATCAGGACCAGGTCCGAGAAGTGAGGAGGCTAGTGACGCTCAATCGGGGTACAGAGCACACGGCGGAGCCATCGCTCTTGATTAGTGGAGATGTATAGTGATGCGTACGTACCACTGTCCACGTTCCGTCGCGGTCCTGAAGTCAGAGCACTGACGCATGGTCAGGCTCTGCGAGCATATTGAGAGATTGCCAAGGGCTCGGGGTGGTGAACAAAGGACATTGCCTTGCGCTCGCGTCGGGGTGCAAGGGCATCTGCCCTCGTGATAAGGGGGTTTCGGCCAGAGGACAGGGAGGTGGAAGTCAGATGCGTACGAGCCATACTCAGTTCAACAAAAGGGGGAGGGTTCCTCTGCGTTGAGTTTGAGGGGATCAGAAGAAAGTAGCGTTCAGACAGCAAGGGGAAAACACGGCATGGGGTAGTGGGACGAAGGTGCTCTGTTCTACTGTATGGAGACCCTCATGAACACCTCGGATCGGGTAAAGGTGAATAGTAGATACCATTTGGGGACTTGGTCGTCTGAGGTGTTTCGTACAGTAGGAAGACCCCGGGTGTTATTCTTCGGGGAGAGAATAGAGACAGCATTATGGTAGTACTGATGGAGAGAGACACGGTAGAAGAGGCGCAGAGAGCGTCTGAGGGAAAGGTGTTCTGTCAGGGTGTTTTCTGTCTCTTCCCCTCACGTTAAAGGGAAACATCAATGCCAAACGGCAATACAAAGAAACAACGACATACCCCGCAGCAGTTTGTTCACACACGCCCAGCCGATACCTGGCATGCCGAAAACCGGAATACACACCCTCGAAGGTTTGCCGCCAGCGGCCTGCAGGCATCGTGCTTCGAGCTGGGGCGTGGACTACGTTGTCGCGGTACTGACTCGTCTCGTCGGAGGCCGAGCATCTGGAAGAAAGAAAATGAACACAGCCTATTGTTTGAAAGTGATCTGCTGCCACAGGATTCACGGGTCCCCGTGACAGCAGATGATCATGCCCTCAACATAACTGGGTGACCCCAATAAATCGCCCCCAGATCAGTTCCGTCACCAAGTACCACATGTATATATCGTTCATTTAGCGGGGAGTATCGTCCAGGCCTCGGTGGGAAGAACTTGGGTCGAAGAGGTGCCATATGATCGGATCCTGGAAAAGAAGAGAGATGATAGTCTTCTACTGGATCTCCTGTTGCGTTGAATAGGTCCCAAGACGGGCAGTGACACCCGCAGTAACGAGGTTCGCCTGCCCGCGTTGCTTCTTCCGGCATGCGCCTGGATATTAACGCCGTACCAGATTGGAGCCGCGACGGCCAAGGGGTCGACCATCTATACCAGCGGTGCCGCGACTTTGTACCGGCTGAAGATGTCGAAGATCATGATGCTTTCGACCACAATACCATGGACATGACGAAGGTCAACACCCTCTGCACTTTCTTCTTCGCCGCCAAGAGGGACAGATCTCCGAAGCTGTATCTGCTCAACTTTTCGGTTCCTCTTTCGATTTTCGCGTCTGCTTCGTTCGACCGTTCCACGCTCGGCGAGTGTAGCTCCTGCTGGTCCTTTTGTTCCTGCTGCTTCTGGTGCTTCTTCTCCAAGGACGCGTCGATGGCGCTCATGAGGGACGTGCCAGCCACCCAAAACGATGTCATCCCCATGGTGGTGATGACACATATCCCGGTGGCAATGACGTAGAAGGCCGTCGTGTTGTCGGTCAACAGTTCGAGAAACAGGGTTGCGACAGGGGTGGTCAAACTCAAGCCGAGCGTCGCACAATGCCCCGCTCGTGTTTGCAACCAGGTGGATATCGCGAGCAGCCTGGGACATTGTCGCATTAACCGGGCGTCATTGCTGCTAGGGGGCCACGATCATGGAGCCGATAGCAAGCGTGGGGTGGCGGGGGGGGTTGGGGGGGGGTACTCATAGTCGTGCATGCCGTAGTCGTTAGACCATTGACCTCGCATCCCTACAAAGCCGGGACGGAGCACGCCGGGTTCTCACCGGACCAGGCTCTCACATCACCAAGCGCGAAGCGCCGTGAGATATTCGGCGAGTCGCATGAAGGGTGCGCTGCATCCTGCTAAGGGTGTTCGGCATCTTGTGCTTACTTCCTTGCGTACGGATGGAAGCTGCGTATGACTTAATGTATTTTCTGGTACTTCACTTCCAGAGACAGTTGTTAGCACTGTGTAACTGCC